GCGAACTTCTTAACATATGGCACCAATTTCCTTTCCCTTTTTACATTGTGCATGAGAGGGAAAACAGTCACATCGTTCCTACTTCCAAATAATTTTAACAAAGTGCCTAAACCACATTTGATGTTGTTATCGCTTTCAACAAATATGCCAATTTTCAAAACGCGCCTGTATATAAGTTCACGTACATCTTCGGAAATTTCGAATAAAAAACTCTGATTTTTTGCAGGTGTACTTAGAAATACATCTACTTTAAGAGTATGGTAAGAATGTTATGGATTATAATTCAAAAAGTTTTTCGAAAAATTTATAAAAATTATTTAAAAAAATCATAAAAAATGGGCGATTTTTATTTGGAATGAACCTAAATTTCGAAATGTGAAAGGAAGAATGCAATAAATTTAATAAAAAAAGAGATATTAATAAATACATACCAAATTGAATTCACATGGAGGAGCTAAAATTTTGAGAGCTAATTGTTTAAAAACTACTCGTGCTATTTTAACAAAATTTGGCAGTTTGGCATAATGTGAGCCGTAGAATCGAAATACGGGAAAATTGTGTTGCGTAATTTTTCTCTCCTCTTCACGTTCGTTACGGGTTAGTGCGGATTTGGAGTGAATAATGACAAAACTACTTGCTGACGTATCGAAACACACTTTATTGGCTAGTATTAATTAGGACAGCTCCAAAGTCACGTTTTACAGTTGTCGAAGATCTACTATACACTCGCTGGAACAATCAGCGACACATCCTTCAGGTTATCAGGCTGTAACGGTGGAGACAGCTTCACTGCAAAGTACCAAAGTACAGCTCCCGACTCTGCTTGGTCATTCTCGGAACTCCCCGTACTCTCGAGCATCTGCACGCTACAACTCGCGATGCACTCGACGACACACAGAGCACAGCTCCAGACTCTTCAGTTCAGTCGTTCCCGGAGCTTAACACACTCTCTCGACGACCCACTCGGCACTCGCTGACCAGCTGTCAACTCGATCGTCTCCGCACGTACTAACTAGATGAGACATACTAACTAGCACTCTACGAGGCACTCTGTCAATGACTGTCTATCAGCTCCCTAAACGAGCACACACTCGATACTAACTAACTCTACGCGTACCAGCAGAGTTTATATAGCTTTTGGCTGGGATTCGAGAACATTCTGGGCTAAACTGGTAAGAATTCGTTCCAGAAGGTTCTCCATCCGTCCATGGCATATCGCCAATTTTGTCGCCAAATGTTGCAACTCTGCCTTCCTTGCAATTTTATGTTAACCCTAAAATTGCTTTGCGGGGAAACCATCTTACCACGCCTGTACATTTCGTAACAATTGGTATGTTTCAGAAAAAGTTCGATTTTGTGTCAAAATTCCTACCTTAGAACAATGCTATATATATATGTAACACATATCCAAAGTCGCGCTTTCGAGACATGGAACACGCAAGTTGAATTTCGTCAATCGGCCCAGTAGAACGAGAGATAACAGCTTTAAATAATATTAAAATCTTGTAGATTAAATAATTTAAATAGATGAACATTAAGGTATTTATGAATGGCAATATTTGAAACCAGACTCGAGTGCCTCGTGCGACTCTCGCACGAAGAATGTAATTTATTTTTAATTGATAGAATATGTTTTCTCTTCTTGTTTGTATGTCGCCATTTTTTTGAGTTAAATAAAAGTTATTGCTGTGTTCCCTCATTGGAGTTGCTTCATATTGCCAAAGAAGCATCACAGAGGCTTTGTTCCTGAGGGACTATTCCACCCTCCCCCACCGCAGTGTTCATAATACAACATTAGACGTATTTTTTGTGACCCCAGTCTTAGTTAAAACTAAAAAAAAACGGACTAAGAATAATTACAAACAATTTTCAAAAATGCATTTAGTAAGGAGCCACATTCAAAAGAAATCTCACTCTCAATAAACATAAATATATTTTATTTTTTAGCCCTCAGGTTCGTCAGCAACAGAATAAGAAAATCTGCTGCATTTATCAGAAAGAGAAATTTACATACTTAAAATGCCAGGCGTCACACAAATATTCTGTACATGAAAATAATGACAAATTATGAATATAAACAAATCATGACTTGGGAAACGTATGTATAAAAAACAGTAAAGTAACATTTTCATTGACGGAAGAAATGACAATTCAACATTTTTCTCTTAATTATTGAATACGGTAGCTTTATCCAGAAAGTTCAGTTTAATCATAAAATGAGAATTGAAGTATAAAAATATATATTTTCCTATCACATAAAATGAGCTTTTAAAAATTTGCCTCCAAAATTTTTCTTCTTTCGAAATACTGAAATTACTTCCTGTGTGAATAAAAATATTTGATTATAAGTTTAAATACAGTAATCTAAACCAGATAAAATTTGATTATCAAATATGCGTTACGTTAGCATAATGTTAGCGTGGTTGTCAAGAACACACTCTGCGATTTTAGTGAAATATCCTTTTATAAAAATTAACCGTAATCATATAGTGTAACCGCTGTGGACTGTGCATCAGAAATTCTAAAGATATGGTCTTTTAAAATTATTTTGTGATATTTCTGTTGAATTGAATGTTATGGTTTAAGTGCGAAGAACGCGATAATTAATAAATAAAATTAACACACAAAATGTTATAAAACGCTCCTTTGGGTGTAATATAAAATCTGAAAGCTTTCAGATTTTTTTTTTTTTTTAAATTTTATATTTCGTAAAACATTAACGAATTTTTGATTTAAAACTCAACAAATTCTAAGCGAGTAGTGGCAACGCTGTAAGCAATAGAACATATTTATCGCCAGCACGCGAGACTATCTATCGCAAATTTCGTGTTGTTTTTTTAATATGTTTCGCCCAATGTGGCCTTAATCCAAATGTTCTAGAAACGTGTTTCATATAAAATTTGAAAGCCTTCAGGTTTTTTTATTGTATTTTTTAAAGAATCGTTTGGAAGGAATAGTCCGCTTTGAAACTCGTGCTTGGTTTTTCTTTGTTTCCAGCATTCTTTTATGTGTAACTATGTATATGAAGTATCGAAATTAAATTTATTGAGATAGCTTATTGTCGACTGCTTCCGGGAATGCTTAAAAATATAAAAAGTGTAAACATATAAAACGAACTGGTAAGTTCTCTTGCTACTTTTAGATGTGAATTTTTATACGTTTAATTTAAATTTAAGACGACATTCCTTGCCGGAATTAGCAATCGATAATTAATGAGCTCTGAATAATTAGAACATATTTTGGATATAAGAAAACATATTTATTGAAAAATTAGAAAAAATAAAAAATAAAACGAGCATTGGTCGCAGAGCGAACGATTACTTCCAAATGATTCTATAAAAATATACAATATAAGCCAGAGTGAAAAGTTCCACTACATGGTTACAGTTAATTTATATAAAACGATATTTCACAGAAGTCACTGAATATATTCTTGACAGCCTTCATATCTTTTCTTTCAATGAAGATAAATTTATATGTTACATTACATTTCGTGAAACAAGGATGGTTTAAGAAAATCAATTTTATCATAAGCTTTCTCTAAAACAATAAATTTACCGTATTCAAAAGTCTATATACAAACATCAGAGAGGTTTTTTTGAATTATTAAATATAAATATGCTATAAATATTAAACACATAGCGGTTAAATTTTTTTTTCTAAAAACGAACATTGAAAGATCAAGGAGAATACTGAAGACTTATTAATTAATTACATCTTCAGTAATTTTTTAAAAGAACATTGTCAGCAAGAACTGCTTGAATTAAAAAAAATATAATACTTTAATTGAGCCTCTAATGTATTTTAAAATATAATTCTGAAAAACTAAATCATTAAAGACACTTTTTCCAATGTCTTACATATTAAATTATCAACAGCAATAACATAATTATTAACTGTAGTGGGAAAATTTTCAATTTCAAATTCGATTTGTAAAGAAAACTTGGTTGCATTCAATAAATATACGTATGTAAATAAGTTAATAATTTAAAAAAAAAATTTGAAAATTTCAGCAATTTATAGCAAAGACTCAGATAAAACTAAGAAATATTTTACACTGTTTTAAAACCAAATGTAAAAATTATTAGCACACGTGAAATTAAATACAGTTATTTGAATATACAACTGTGTATTTTTCTACCAAACTCAAATCGAATTTATAATGCATTGAGAGTTTCATGCTAATTCCTTAAAAATGAATACAATTATTATTAAAAAGTTTAAAAAATTATCTGTGAAGTGCCAAACTGGACTTCATTCATTTCGTTTTGGGCACTTTCAGAACAAAAATTTAAAAAAATTCTTTTCCGAATTCTGAAATATTTTTAGTTTTTAAAATAAAATTAATGCTAATACGATAACATGTATATTTAATAATTTATTTTTGCATTTAGAGTAAACAGTTTAGAGTAAATATTAACATTTGCTTTACTCTAATATCATTTTTTAGATAAATTGTTTTACAAATTTCTCTAATTTCGCAAAATAAGATGCTATCTCAGAATTCGAGAGTGTTTTCGTAGTTTATAAATCATCATCAACACAGAATAGCACTGTCACTTGAAAAGAAAGTAGTTACATCATCATAATTTTTTCTAATATTAAGCAAAATGTGCAACTAATCTAATAGTTGTATCGTCCTTATGTGGATTCATGATAATTGTTTTTATCACAAAACATACAAATCTGAAGCTATACATAATTAAAATTAAATAAATGATAAGAGTTCAATGACATGGAATACTCTGTAGCCAATAATTCATAAACAGAAAGTCTTACTTCATACTGTTCTCACGCTTTAAAAATACTTATACATCTACTCAACAAAAACAGAAGTACTTAATAAAAGAAGCTGTATCTCACAATCAAAGTATTCATCTCAAATGATTTCAAAAGTAGCATCTGGATTTAAATACATGAAATAACTTATCTTAGTTCTCGTACGATTAGTTTTAATTGTATTCTCTCCGTGTCCCACCATATAAAGCCAAACATGAATTCACTTTTGTGTACGTATTGCAGTTTTAATAAGTCATTTATTGGCATTGGTCTTAGCGGTGATATAATTTTAATGCCCATGCAATACAATGGAAACATTATCTGCATTGGCATACATTACCAGATAATGAACGGTTCTTGTGCTAATTCAGATGCACAACAAAAGTCACTTGAAAACTGCCCTTACGAAAACATAGAGACAAGCAAAAGTCACTTGAATGGAACAATATTAGCGTAATTTAATGTACTAATTATAAAGCAGTGACAGAATATATTTAATAATCTTAATAGCCTCAATGTCTAAGGTGATATTGTGTATTGATCTAAAGATGTCCAGCATCTTGATTTACCAATCTTTTTGGAAACCTTTAAAGATAATATACCAAATTTCCATTGGATTTACTAATTGAATTTTAACTCGAGGCTTAACGGAAACTGCTCAGCAAAATCATGCATCAATTCTCCTTAACCTCATAAGTGATAACATGTAACATGCACAAATCAGTAACATCTATATTCTGAACAGTAGGTATACGATTTCGAAAGACATAAGCGAAAGCAGGCGCATTTCATATTCACCGCATTTTATCCCGTTTAGCTGTGGGTCTTCAACAAGTTTCATTTTTCTCGGCTAACTTCGGAACAGTCTGTAACATGGCAATGCACTGAATGCGACATTGGATGCTTTTGGAACTTACGTGCGTGAATGTTCTAAAAAAAGCACAGAAAGCGATTTAATTCGGCTTTCGCTGTGGTACAGTTGGCAAAAATAAATCACAAACCACATTTCATAAATTACTTTACAGAATGCTACAGGAATATGTCTTAGGTGCTGCTACCACTTGATTGCTGGCAGGTCTTTCCTCATTATTCTTTGGAATGACAAGTATTTTTTTAACCGCATTCTTTAAGGAACGCCTCGTTTTAACAATTTTCAATGGCTTCAGTGGTACTCTTGCGTGGCATTGATGCTGACAGCAAGAGCATTGATAACTGTTCGAAATCTGTCCATTGTCATCCCATGCTGTGGAAGGTTGTACGGATACGTTCTGCGTAGAGAACCAGGACGCGCTGCTGGCAAACCGAACCCTGCTAGCTTTTGTTTCGTGCCCAGTTTGTATCCCCACATTTTGGGAGGTGCTTGTGGAAGGATTGACTGTACCACCACCACTAGAAGATCCATAAAGTAGAGAAGGGGCTACTGAAAATGCCCTGGCCCTGTTGGCACCCAAAGTGACTGGAGAATAATATTGATGAGAGTCTCCAAAAGGATGAGATGGCTCAGGAATGGCTGGAACAATATCCAAAGAGGCCTTTTTACGTGGTGTTCCTTTGTATCCGTTCAGCCAGTAGGTTTTCATCAGTCCTTTGCCCTTAAAGATTAAATAAATTTACTCTATATACATAATAAGCTACACTAAATCTACATTACATAGACTAAATCTACATTACTTACACTAAATCTAAATTCAATGAACACTATTCAATTCAATTATTAAGTACTATTCACACTATTAAATTAAATGAACACTATTGCCCTACACTGAATCTAAATTCAATGAACACTTCATTGAATTTAGATTCAATGAACACTTCATTGAATTTAGATTTAGAGTATGTAGCGATACACTACACTACATACACTAAATCTAAATTCAATGAAGCTAATTTCTAAAGAAGTAAAAGTTTTGATATATTAATTTGGAACATTTGTAATTGCTGGAAGGTGAATCTCAGGGAACAGTGAACGCTAAATGATTCTTGTGACGACGTTTGAATATTAATCCAAAAAGACATTACAGGACATAGATTTAAAGGACACATTGATCTCTTATAAACATTGATCTCTTATAGTAATATCATCACTGCGAATGAAACGTACTAATTTTATTTTAGACAATAAAACTGTCACATAAATTAATATAATGTGTTGAAATAGGATAGTTTTGTTAAGTTATTTGAATTCTAAAGTCAGACTAAAAGGGCGATTGATCCGATTTTTTCATCATTATTACTCTTAATATCATTCAGTATTCATTACGATTCATCAATATTACTATTACTATTAATATCTTTGTCATTATACTAATATATAAATGTTAGATAAGTAAAAATGAGACAAATAGCAAGCTTTTTTACATTTTTCTGTGGATATTCTTTTCCCAATTTTGAAAACACATTTTAATATCCCAACCCATAAACAGTTAAAAAAAAAGAGCATGTTGGACATGTTGGAAAAGAATGTCTAATGGGCGGTATTGCGCACAACTTTAGCTGTGAAATGATAGTTTTCGTGTTTAAAGAATCTCAGTGTGATGGCAAGACCGCACGTTTTTCTCACTCCGAATTCCATTTCGACAATGGAAACGGAAGTTGGCTAAAGAGAATATAAAGAGACCAGTTTGAAGTTCACTCCATCCTTTTACCCCTTGCTTTACCTTGAGGTTTATTCTACGGAAGCGAGTGCGAAGGCTGCAAAATAGACGGGTAATTTTTTCACCAAGGCTTTTCGTCACCGCCATGTCCGCTGACAAGTCCTCGTACTTCTTCTTGTGATTATTTATACTTCATACCTGTGAACAGCAATGGCAGTTCTGAAAAAGTAGCTGGACATTTTTCATTCTTATAATGTCCTATAGCTTTCTGTAAGCAGGGCGCTGAATTTTTACGCGATTTTTGCGATATTGCGAAATTGTCTTCCGATCAAAATTATTCTTTCAAGGTCATTCAGCACCGCCATGTTCGCTGACAATTCCTCGTCTTCTTCATGCGATTTTTATCTTTCATATCTGTGAACGAAAATGGCAATTATGCAAAAAATAGGCAGACTTTTTTATTCTTATCATGTTTTATAGTTTCTTGCTAGGGAAGCTTCGAAATTTATCAAGATTTCCCTTTTTCCTTTTTGTGAAAGTCTATGATGAATTCGCGAAAGTGATTGTAACTGGAGTTATCAATATTTCTGCTACGGTTTTAGGATTGAAATAAACAGATTTTACAGGTTAAATATGTGTTGAGTGTATTTTGGTACAATACGTGGGTAGGTCAATGTCATTATTCTTAATCTTAGGTTATCAGGCATAACAGAACACTATCGTAGTTTCCTCTCATTCGGGTTATTGCGGCAGCAGCGCAGGTAATTAATTGGATTATCTATCCTTAAATATTTCACGAGAAGTTTGATACCGTGGCACTCATCTTTTAAGCATTTTTGATAATCTCTGCGTTTTGGCTGATTAAAAGCTTAAAATCTTAGCATTTACTATACTACATACGAGGTGTGACACACACACACACACACACAGACACACACACCAAAAGACTAAGCTTGAAAACAGAGCGGAATTGGCAACAACTGTTTTGGTGACGTCATGTCACACATCTTCTCCATCCATGCGGCCAGTTTCGACTTAACCGACCACGCCAGTGGGGAGAACTGCGTCATTGAATGAGCATGTGCAACTGCATTCTGCCAGAAAAATGTCTAATGTAAACACTGAACAGCGAATCAACATCATATTTCTTGTGAAACTTAAGAAATCAGCCACGGAGGAAACTTTTCAAATGTTAACCGAGGCTTAATGGAGATGAAACTTTGTCTCATGCACGTGTGTGAATGGTATAAGCGGTTTTCACGAGGAATGAACAGTGTGGAAGATGATGCCCACTGGTCAGACTGTTAATCAACACTACTACATTGAAGTAATAAAGATACTTAAATAATTAGGAAAAAAAGGCCACAGTTGTGGAGTGATGGATGACTGTTGCACCAGGGCAATGCAACCGCTCACACTACCCTGTCTGTCAAGCAGTTTCTAACCAGCAAAAATATTACTGTGATGGGGCATCCTCCTTATTCACCTGATTTGGCTCCCTACGACTTTTTTTTTATTTCCTAAAGTTAAATCTTACTTAAAGGGAACCTATTGTACCTCTGCTGAAGAGGTTCAAGCAAAAACGGAGAATTTCCATTAGGGCCTTCCAAAAACCTTGCTCCAGAACTATTACCAGCAATGGCAGCACCGAATGCTGAAGGGAACTACTTTGAAGGTGATAATGTCACAGAGAACTGTTTCTTGTAAGTATAATGATTTATTGGACCAGTTCCTTTTTTTTTTTTTTTTTGTGTGTGTGTGTGTGTGTGTGTGTGTGTTACACCTTGCATCATCCCTAAACTCAGCGATAAAACAGATTAATTTAATGTTCTCTATTATAAGTTTCTTTTATACTATTATACTTTATTTTGTTCTGCTTTATGAAAAGAGTTTACTCACTTTTACGCTGATCGTTCCTCTTTCTGAAATATCCCACTGATCAGGTGAAAGTCTTTGCGCTGTTTCTTCACTAATATGAATCTTCAAAGCCTAAAAAATACAAATATTATTGCAAATTTGAAACTTAAAAGCAGGTACAAAAGGGACAGAGAATTAACATGTTTATGGATATCACCATTTGCTTAATTCTTATCATTTGACTGCACACGCCGAAATTATGTAATATATTTTGCCAGAGATTTCTTTTCTTTTGTTTCATAGAGCAGTTTCATGTTCATAGCATCCGTGTTTGGAAGGTCAAGCTAAAACTATGAAGAGTACCATATTCGACATTGCTTATTATTCGAGTTTCGAAAAGGAGTTGATGCAACATGAATTACTAGAATGTTTGGGGTGTTTAGACAGCCTTATTAGATGTCCCCATAGACGATTTGTGTAATTTTTTTCTGGCAGACTCATCTCATTCAGGATGACCAGTATATTTTAACAATGATGTTTTACAGGAAAGGAAACAAATCTTTGTCAAACGTTCGACGTATTATCGAATAACGTTAACAAACATTTAATAATAAGCTGTTGTTTACGAAAATTCCAGCACCATGAAGATGAACATAATGTCTTACACATACGACCTACAGTGATGCAAAGAAACGAATAAAATTACAAAGCAGTATAAGACTATTAAACATCAAACATCAGTTATTTGGCTGAACCACCATGTAGTACAGTAAGAGCTTGTACTTTTCGTGGCATTGAATCAAACAAATTTTGAAAGTGTACCTCAGAAATAACATTCCATATTGCTTCTATCTGAAATTTTGTATATCTTGTACTTAAAAAATCAACGTGTAATTGTGTATTCAATGTGAAAATGTTTAAAATTGATGCAAAGACTATTTGTTAATCTCTTCTTGGCCGGTTCTGGCGCGGGCCGTCTGTGCATCCAGTAGACATAATAGTGAAACGTAGCAATACCTGTAAAATCACCGATGAAGTTTTAGTGCACCGTCCACGTTTTCCTGTTCCTGCTTCTATCCGAATCCACTACCCGTAATGGTTGCGGCTTACCAACAAGTTGCCTGACCACAAAATCTCCAGACCTGCTCAACAGACGACATGTGAATAGAGAGGCGAAAAAAGAAGCGTTATCTAACATGTTGGACATTTCTAGTAAGCTGTGGGAAAACATTGTGCTGTTGAGATCCATCTCAAGAAATGTACTGAACGAAGAATTTTACTCAAGACCCCACAATCTCTCTGATGTAGCATTTGCTGGTGAAAATAATTTTAATTTTTAGCAGACAGAATCTTCATCATATTCAATGGCGTCCTAGATCATCATTCTTAAAGATCGTCAAGAATGCGCTGGTTAACGATGGAAGATGGTTAGTTCTCTATAGTATTTAACTCTTTGAGGAGCAGGAAAAGGCAATTAACTTTTTCAGCAAAACTCTTGTTTTATTTACTATATCAGGTGTTACAATGAAATTATTTGCGACAATTACACATTTTTGTCCAAGACATGTGAAAAAAAATGACCACGTTTAGTGGCTAGTGTCAGTGACCACCGCCTACAGAACACATCCCTACAAATCAGTCTCTATGGTACTCGTGGAAACAGCTTTTCTTTTTCAAGAAGAGTGCAACTTTGCATGTGCTGCATTCCCACTCTGTTCTTACAGGCTTTTCTTGGTACTGCAGAGTGCACATCATCGTGATGTTGTCTTTGATGGCTGATGCATTTTTTTTTTTTTTTTGAAGACGAATTACTGTACCAGCTACTGGCTTATGTTTCTTGATTGCAATCTAGTGAGCTACAAGGGAACTTCAGAAACGGCCAGTCTTGAAAATCACTCACACGAATGAGTAAGACGTTCAATAGAAAAGGTGGTTACTGTAGGTAACCACCGCCTTTCAAAGAGTTAACGTATATTAGATAAGCTGCTCTCCAACTTGAATGTAACGGAAAAGTTACCAATTGTCCACGCCAGCGGCTGTGTCGATGAGCCCATTGTAGCCGCATGTGCCGATGGGTTTGCGTCTGGGAATCCTGTGTGAAGGAATCTATGCATGCAATCCTCAACACAGCAATCATCGGCGAACTGCTGAAGCACTTGTAGCAGCAGTCCAACATTGCGCTGACTGTCGAGACGAAGTTGCATGGTCCATCACTATAATTAGATATCTGTCATCTCGTTCTGACGTAACATTTCGTGATCCACTGTCAGGTTTATGATTCGTCCGGTTTTTTACGCACAGGCTTCCCTAACGAGGCATTATGTCGCATAAGAGCGGATATTCCACGACTGGGAAATCCTTACTCTCGCAGATCGATCATTCAGCCTCGTTCAAACAGCGTAATTTGCTTGTGCAGTGCTTTTTTGTCATCGAAAAGGAATAGTGACTTCTCATGAAACATTTACAACTGGCTGATAATGAAGTATTGCCTTTACAGATGTTTATTGTCATAGCTAACATAACAGATCAGAGAAAGTTGCTCAACCCATGTATGCGCTACGACACTAAAATTCTAAAGGATTTGCGTACTATTTAATAGACACATCAGATTGCAATGTTGTCTTTTATTCTGTTTGGAAAAGAACTCCTTGTTAGTGTCTCCTACATATGTGAGCCTGTCATTGTGAAGCGGTGGTGCATGTACTTCTAAACCCAACCTTCCCATCAAGTTCTTTCGGAAAGAAACCAGTATAATGTGTTTTTCATCTCCTGTAAGTTTCAACTATATTTTGTTATCTAAATATTAAGGGTGATAAAGAGTTTTGAACTTACCTCACTAGTACTTTCCATTCGGGAAGCTGTATTCACCGTGTCGCCGAATAAGCAGTACCTGGGCATCTTGAGGCCCACAACACCGGCCACTACTGCGCCAGAATGAATACCTGAAAAAGTAAAAGAAGTTCAGCTACTGAAAAAGACGAAATAATAAATATTTAATTAATAGTTATAGGAACCTTTTCTTCATATACAGGCATGAGCACTTAATTCATATTAGTAAATCACTTAACGTTCTCTCTTACGTAAATATTATCTATATTTTAAAAATTGCATCCAATGTTTGAAATCAAATATAACTTCTGTTATATCAGAAGTTTAACCCCAGTTCTCTTTGATGCTGACAAAATTCTCCAACTGACTGTGTGTAATTTCTTGGTATCTTGTAAATAACTATATATGGTGCAAACAACCTTTATTAAGTATACAAAATGTAAACAGAATTATTAAACTAAATAAATTTAATACGAGTATAATACGGCAAGATATAATACAGTCATATATAGAAAAATATGTCTTGACGGGGAAACTTCCCGACGGCGAAAATTCCTAGACACTATGGTAGGCGGTTTTATGTAGGAACTGAGTAGCTGTGATAGTCTGAATACATACACGTTTTCTGAAGAAAATATCCCGTATATAGTCCTCTACCAATGCAATTTCTCTAGGAAATATCTGATGTGGATAACACATTACTTCTTTGTACAGTCTACTGAATTATACACATTTTTTGCTGCATTTCATTTAAACGTATTTCGTCGAATTTCATTGGAGGTGTATTTCTCATTCAATTAATTCAGTTTTCACTTTGCGACAAGGCAAAAATACATAAAAACTCAAAAATATCTTCATTAAAAATTGAAAAATATGGAAAAACATAACAACCACTAAATACAGTTAAATTTAAAAAAAGTTTTTAAATTAAAAATAGAGTTTCCAGCACAAACAAGCTATTCGGCCAACGGGCAAGAAGGCCAATTTTTCGACGCACCAAACTGAAAGATTACGTTTGGTCCCGCTCCGCAAAAAGACACTGAAGGTGCAGAAACTGATTTAATTCACTATTCTACTAAGTTTCAAATATAAACAAATATGGTCGCTATGGTAAAGAATAAGGCTTAGCCGCACTTAAATAACACTTAATTGTTGATAATTCTACAACTATTGGCAGCATAAAAAACCTTGCCCGAACGTAAGAATAACATAATTCAATCATTTTTATAGCTTGCCACCAAGATCATCGGATCTCTCCTGTGTGGGCTTTTTTCTGTGGGACACATAAAAAGCATAATCTTCGAGTGCCCCATTGAAACCAACATGGATCTAGTGACCAGGATCGCGGTTGCTAACGGCAATATTCGGGAAATGCCTGGTGTCTTCGCAAATGTGCGTCAGTTCCTATTCCGCAGGTGCGAAACCCGCATTACAGTTGGCGGAAGGTCTTTTGAGCCTTTTCTATGAGCATGTTCCCTTAATAAAATGTTTTCTGAAGTATCTCCTCTCATTCTTGTGTTGAATCTTTAAATGTGAAAGAGAGCGAGACCACGCAGTTATTAGCTATTTATACAAGATAGGTGCACAAAGTTACATCTAATCTGTGATTGGTTAATTTTGGGTTTTAGTTCCATTTTTCAGTGTTATGTAATTTGGAATGATCTTGAATTTGGGAGAAAGGATAACAGGGGAGAGTACCAAATCTAGAATGTTAATTTTTGAGGTCGCTAATTATTCTTAGAGAGCTATCGTATTTTTGTTATATCTTACACACACACACACACATATATATATATTCACACTGTGCTCAGGTTTTTTTATTGTTATATATTGGTAAATAGTGAATTTTTTGTTTAAAAAGTGATTGAATTATGTTGTCCTTATGTTCCGGCTAAGGGTTTTATGCCTTGAGTTAATCTGCATGCAATTGTTGTAAAATTATCAACAATTTAAAAGTTGTTTAAGTGCGACTAAGCTTAACGTACCAGTCATTTGTTTACATTAGAAACTTAGCAGAACAGTGAATTAAGCCAGTTTCTGCACCTTCAGAGTGTTTCTTGCCGAGTGGAACCAAGCGTTAGCTTTAAAAATTTTTTCCGCACCGAAAATTTTGTCTTTCTGCCCGTTGGCCAAACTACTTGTTTTTGCCTCGAAACTCTAATTTTAATTGTTTTCAGCTGTATTTGGCGTTTTACATTTTGCTGTATTTTACAATTTTTAATGAAGATCTTTTTGAGTTTTTAGTTTTTATGTATTTTTGCCTTGGCTCGAAAGGAGAAACAAATTATTTGAATGAGAAATATATCTCTGATGAAATTGTAGGATATAAGTTTAAATGAAATACAGCAAAAACGTGTATAATTGAATATGCCGTACAAGGAAATCACGTGGTGTCCTCCTCAGATATTTTAATTTTACATAAAGCTAAGATTATTAATAAATAACTGTGCGATTTCAGAAGGATTATATTGATTGCTCTACTTATGTCAATCGCACAAGATTTCAAACTACCGCGTGTAAAGTCTGACACGTAAAACCTGACTTTACCGAACTTTGATTGATTATTCCCCATTAGATCTTTATATTCCGATTTTTGACTTTGCTTTGAAAACACGACATGAATACTTTTTCCGAACGTCTGCAGATATATAAAATACAGCCAGACATTTTTTCTCATGTTACATACAAGGTTAAGTCTCATAAGAAAAAGAATGATGTATGAAGCAAATCAGAAAAAAATTTAAAAATGAAAAAAGAATGCGACAAATGGTAGAATCTGAAAAAACTTACAAAACTGGATTCAAGAAAGTAGAATGCACCTTTTTGTTTTCAATCGCAAAAACGATAATTACCAGTCACTAATTGAAAAACTGATGCCAAGCTAAAGAATGAAGTTCAGACGAAATGTTGCTGCTGTTTTTATCAGACTTGCAAAAACTGATGGAATAATTTCCGAAAGAATTGGTTAAGTTAACGAATTTTTTTTCTTATGTTGATGAGTTCAGTAATTATTTTTCGTGACTTTATCTTAATTAAGAAGGAGATATTTGATTTAAAAGATAAAAACATGACACTTCTTCTTTCAAAACAAAAGGTATTTGGAAGTTCCTGGAAGTAAATACTTCTATTTCGTTGTAGGTAATGAGAATCAAAACATGAACCAAATAAAATACCTTTATAGATTGAAAATTTAGAAGTATGCTAAACTGCTTCTGTAGTCTGAAGCTAAATATTTCAAGCAGAATCATATTTGAATAAGAGAAAATAACAGAAATGCAATTAAAGATAATTTATTAGCTTTAGAGATAAATAAGAAGTGCGAAGAATATTGTATTCTACATACTACCTGAAAAGCTAGAATTATGCATGTTGCCACAAGGTCCGAAATAAAAGTTCGTGAAATAAAAATAGATATAAATGAGATTGCCAGATGTAAAAGTAAAATTACTTTTATCAGAAAATATTAATGCCAGTAGAAAAGCTTACTGCAGTCTAATCAGCAATGTAAGAGCTAACTGCTATAAATTTAATGTTTTTATATTAGTCCAAAAGGGATATTAGCGAAACGACATTTTGCGTTGAATCGGTATAAAACGCTGTATCACTTTTGAAACTCTTGCCCCCAATATTATCGCCCTGTATTACATTTAAAGAAATTAAATAATAAAGAATCTTCACAAATGTATGCACGTTTCTCGCACTGTGAAAAAACAACTATACGAGAGTAATAAAATTTTGAATAACGCAGTGTTGGCACCCAAATATGAGCACCTGGAAGCTCGAATCTTAAATTTTGAATATGTTTTATTATTTACTTCATATTTTTTAAACTTTCACGAATTTTAGATTAAGGAACTCAATGATTTCAAAAGAGCAACGGTAAAACACTGTGCGATATAAAATATTTTGGTGTCTAACGCGCAAGACTGTCTATCAATTTCTGAAGATATGCTGTTTTTAAATATTTTGAGCCTAAAGGGACGTCTGCATAAATGCTCTCGAAACGTGTATGCCTGTGGGTGAAAAAAACCCGCCTCCTTTGGGCGTAATATAAAATCTGAAAACTTGTTGTTTGTTGTTTCTCATCCCCGTGACCAGCAGAGCTAGATCAGGTCCATAAGCCCATTCACCCTGAAAAAGGGAGTCATGAGCCAGATCCTGTCTGGTAAAACCCAGATATGATAAGATGTGATCAGGAGAGGCCTTTGCGGTAGAACACTTAGTACATATTTTAAAGTCTTTATTACCACCGGCAAAAGTCATTGATAAGAGATGGCCATTAAGAAATCTAGTAAGTGCAGTTTGATCTCGTCTATTGCTGCTCTGAACCAAGGAACCACCAGGGCACTTAATCTGATACCATGGGTGCACTGAAGGGACCATCCAAACGGCCTTATTCCTTGCCTTACATTTAAAAGTAGTTCCATATAAGTAAGAGGAGCGGCAGACGCTGTGGTCTCGCTAGCACCAGCTCTAGCCAAGCTGTCAGCAGTTTCATTTCTAGCAACGTCGACACGGGACAGAATCCACTGAAAGTGGATCCAACGAGAAAGGGAAAGTCGTTTTAGTTTCCTAAGGATATCTGTACTTGTATTATCCCTCACATTATGCCAATCAGCCAAGTGCTGGACGGCACTTCTACTATCGAAAAGATCCAGATATCTTTTAACTGAGGAAGCCACATGATGGAGATCAGACCCTCCAGAATTGCAATAAGCTCGTCTCGAATCTTCTTTGAATTCTTTTTTCTTGATCCCGAAATCTAATATAAATGCCACTGCCAGAACTGTCATTAGCAAGTTTATTGCCGTCCGTATACATGTGGACAGCGTCCATAGGGACATTATTAATTATTTCAAGAGCTAACTGTGTCAAGTAACACGGCAATTCTATCTGTTTGCTAACTTGGATAGAATGAAAGTAAACCCCATTGAGACCTTCAGAGGGGTCGATAATCTGAGATAAAGTGTGATGTTCTATAAAACCGGCGATAAGGTGGTCAGAAATAACCTGCCCAAAGGGACTACTAAGTTTGAGCCTCTGGTTATTGCTCTATGATCCTAGAAATTTCGAGGTACGATTCTGGAGGCCAAGACTGGAGAGCTTATTGTAG